GTTGCTGCTTCTGTTGCTGATTGTGACGCTGCAACTACTACTATTATTACTATCTCTGTTGTTAAATCAGTAACAATATCTACTTCTTCTTCTACCACTGCAACTGCTGCTATTAATACTGCTAATGCTGCCATTATTACCAATTGTTGTGTTGCTATAACAACAGCAGCAACAAGTACAACTGCAACTACAACTAAAAGAAGAGAAGTCGCAACGAACCGTCGGGCCGTAGTGCATAACGGACTGCAGATCAAAGCCAGTGCTGAATGCATCTTTTGGAGCGTACTCGAAGGTGAATTTGTACTCTGTGGAGGAAAACTAAACTTTTAGACCACACACATCACACCATTGAACAAGTAATGCCATTTTAAAGCCCCCCCAAGAACGTAATGACACTGTACCTGAATTACTTTGGGCGTATCAAACGTCATGAGTCACTCGCAAAATGGTGGGAGCAAAATTTGAAGAAAAGAGAAGAAGGTGATGACTTAACGCCTAACAGAAGACGGGAACAAGAGATAGAAACCTGGATTGAAACATAAAACAACACGGGCAGGTAGAATGATTAGAGACAGTGTTTTATTGTAAAAACACATGAAAAGCTAGGAATAAAAAGAAGATTGCCACATTCCCACCATGCACGATGGATGGGACAGGTTTACAGTGTATATGCACATGTTTATATGCTTATAGCTCTCATATTATACATTGCAGAAGAAGAATGAGTTGTTGGCGGGCGCTCTGTTGTGGTTTGTGCGTTCTTTCCTATGTTTGAAACTCTTTTGTAACGCCTTTAATCATAGGCACTCCTATAATAATATAATCGTGTTACTTGTTCCGTTAAATTCTTACTAAAACAAAGAAGAAGAAATTGTACATGCGAAAGGACGAACCTCAGCAGCCATAATACACAATCAAGATAGGGTGTTTTGTTTGGGTTTAAATCTAAAGAAGAAAGTGTGAAGGTCTGCGATGATGACGATGATGATGATAATGATGATGATGATGAGGAGGAGG